TCCGGGACGTCGAGCTGGCCGCTTCTGCAACGAGAGGTCAGAGCAGGCGAGGCAGAGAGCAGGAGTGGGGGGAGGAGACGAGGAGGAGGTGAGGGCGAGCCCGGCAGTCGTCGCACCCCAGAAGGGCTCCCAGGAGAACCTCGACTTCCTAAGGGAGCCAGCCAGGACTGTAAGCATAAACAGCTCTAGGAGAGGCTGACGTCTCCTCCAAGGTCTTCCCAGAAGTCCCCTCTCCACCTATTTCTAAACTCAGGGCGTCTAGTAAACTCCGGAGAACAGGACGGGTGAGCAGCAATGTCCTGCTGCAGGACCCTGTCCTCAGGACCCGCGCCATGCCCACCTCAGCCCCACCCTAAGACATAGGCTAGTTCAGCAGAGGCCGGGCAAGGGCGAGGTGGAGGGCAGGCGGGCGGCGTCTGCCGTCGTGAACACCCACCGTGTCTCCCCACCGGGGCCCATCCCGAGTAACATCATGCTGGACGGGAGGGGCTGCCCATGAGGGAGGGGCGCGCGGGCAGTCCTGCGACCACCACCTCCAATTACCTGAAGAGCTCTTTAGCTTCCAGAAACTGAAGTTGTGCAAACTGTATGAAGCCCGCCTGCTGCAGGATCCTTCTGTACATCACCTGCAAAAAAGGGCAGGTTTCATCTCGCAGAGAACGCTCAGGGCCACTGCTAGGGGGCACCAGACTTCGGGTTTCTATGTTAACTACCCCACAGAAAGACGAAGTGACAAGGTAAAGAAAAACAAGGTATACATGAGGTATCTGTCCCAGAATTTCAAAACTTCATGGAGAGGGCGAGCAGGTGGCGTGGTGGTTCAGGCGCTGGACTCCCACATGGCTGACCTCAGTTCGAGTCCTGGACCTGGTGGCTTGCTTTCTCTCTTTCTCATGAGCACGCATGCTCTATACCAAAATTTTAAACAGTAATACTAACAAAAATAAATAAAATTTAATGAACAATTCTTTTTTTTTTTTTTTTTTGGAGAGGTTTTCACTATAGGGCGCGTGCGCTCGCCAGACAGATAGAGAGAGACATAGAGACAGAAAGCGAGAAATCACCCCCCAGGGGGGATGGTCACACCGCAATCCCTTCTCCTCCATTCTCCTCTCGGGATCTTGGGCACGCACGCACATGCGCCCGGTGTGAGATTTAAGCCACCGGGTCCGAGACGCGAACCGCAGTCGACTACGTGGGAGTCCAGCGACATAGCCATTACGCTAACTGCTGGTTCCCAACAATTCTTTTTTGAAAAGTTCACACGGGAGCCAGCAGGTGGCGTAGTGGTTGAGGTGCTGGACTCCCACAGTCCAGACTCGGTAGCTTGAAAATCTTACCAGGTGCACGTGCGTGCCCAAAATCCTGCGAGGATAATGGAGAAGGGACTGCAGAGTGGCCCTCCCCCAAGGGGTGGGGGTCTCTCACTGTCTTTCTCTTTCAGTCTCTGGTGAGCACATGTGCCCCATAGCAAAAATCTCTCCCCTCCCACCAAAAAAGTTCATACAAACGGAATTGAAGTGCAAGCTTATTTTATCTTTATTTTGGAGAGATTTTTGCTAAAGGGCACGTGCGCTAGCCAGAAAGACAGAGAGAAAGGGGGACAGAAATCAAGCAGTCACCCCCAGGGGGGATGGCCACGCGGCAATCCCTTCTCCTCCATTCTCCTCTCAGGATCTTTGGCATGCACGCACAAGCCCGGAGTGCAAGCTTATTTTAATGTAAAAAAATGGAAACCCATGCAGTTTTTTTCATACAATGCACTTTCCATGAGCTTTCTGAAGACCATGCGTGTGTGTGTGTGTGTGTGTGTGTGTGTGTGTGTGTGTGTGAGAGAGAGAGAGAGAGAGAGAATGCATTTGCCCTCATACACCCTCGGTCCTTCCCAGTGCATCCCTCTGCCATCTGTAGATAGGATGATTACATCCACTTCCGTTTCCTGCGGTAGGGGTGTGGCAGGGGCACCCGTGAGTCCGGGGCTCCCAGCAGCCTAAAAGCCCCCCACTCCTGCTGCTCTCCTGGCATCAACGCCCCACGCCCCTTCTCAGCACGTGCCACAGCAGGCTGGTCCTGGTCACCTGATGGACACACACAGGCTTTCCTGGCCAAAGCCGGGGAGTGCTCTGCGTCCCAGCTCCTTGCTCCACACAGCCCCCAGCACACCACAGCCCGAACGTCCTGCAGGAGGGTGCCAGGTGGCCCCTGTAAGCCACTGGGACCCACCTTCCTTGCTCAGAGCCCCTTGGTCCTTCTTTTTTGTAAGAATTATTTTATTTTACTTTATTTATTTATTTATTTTATTTGACCAGAGAGGAACAGAGTGAGAAAGAGAGAGAGGCAAAGTAAGAAAGCTAGCCGCTGGGCCGGGACTCGAACTGCACATGTGAGAGTCCAGAGCCCTTCACCACCACGCCACCTGCTGGTCCCCACCCCTTAGTGCTTATAACAGCCAGCAATAACAAACACCCTTCAGGAACCTGGGGCTGGAGGTGGTGCAGCAGTAACATGGACCCACCTGGGAAGGTTCCAGGTTCGCATCCACAGACCTCCCCGAGTGTACTGGGCATGCATGTGCTCATGATCCAGGGCTGGCTGGGGAGGGAGTGGATCATGGCATCAGGACCCCGTTAGATGCTGTCTCTCATTTGTCAAAGAAATAAACTTAAAAAAAAAAATGTGTCTCGCGGTGTCTTTAACTCCACCCCCTCCATCACTGCCCGACTCGGTCAGCTTTGGCGCTTTGCTCACCCTTGGTCTGAAGCAGCTTCCAGACAGGCCACTCCACGGTTCACGCCGGCTCCCTCAGCGGTCCTGGCCCCCGAGGCCTCAGGAGGACAGTCTGACGTGTTTAAGCTACCCTCTGACCCGTCAAGCCGTTTTATAAACCACACGCTCACATCCACTACACACCTTGGCATCCCCACGCCGCGGGCCGGCATCTGCCCAGCCAGTGCTTACTGACCTGAACAGAGAACGACCTAACCAATGTTCATGACCCCTACTTCCATTGTCGTCCGCTGTCCTCATTTTGCAAGACGGTGTAAGAAAGTTCGGCTCGGAGGTGTTAACTTTTCAGCCCCAAGTCACGGAAGGGAAGGTGACCTTTCTAATTCTGTGCCCACTTCTTTCCACTCTCTGACTCAGCCAGGCACCCAGCAGGCAGGAAGTGGCGTCACCCACGGAACTGGTGACGGTCAGCACCTGAAGGCTATGGACCCTGAAGCGCAAACCCGCTGAGAGAGAGCCTTTGTCACGGCTGGGGACAGCTCTCTGGAGCACGCGACAGCTCCTCCCCTATCTAAGAAGGAGTCCCGTCAGGGGTGTCAGGGAAGAAGGCTGCATGTCCTTCATTTCTCTTCCCGTCTGCTTCTATTTTTCCTCCATGAAACGAGCCACATCCGACCTAAGGGGCAGCCGAATCCCACCACCCACAGTGAGCAGACGGGGTGGGTCGGCGATGTTGCCGGCAGACACAGCTCCATTTCTGGGCAGAGATAGCAAAGGCCCCGGTAGCAAAGGACGGGGGGACCCACAGCTGCAGCAGTCTGCGACCACACCGAGGCTCACTGACGGAAGAGCAGCTGAGGGACCCCGTCCTCCCCGTGGCTGCGGGACTCCATCGTCACCTCGTTCCCGGCCTGAAGGGAAGTATAATGGAAACCGTTTTGCTAGCGCTCCACATCTCCAAGAATAAAGGGTCATTTTCTATATTCAAGTCCAAGACTGCCACACTGAGGCTGGGAGGAAGACGACAAGGAGACTCTTCCCTCCTGGATACAAGGACCGTGGGTGCTGGAGCCGGGGAAGGGCAGCCCTGTGTGGTCAGGGAGCCGGACCCCACATCTGACTGCAGCTGAAATCCGGCCCTGAAACACACATCAGGTGTGTGTGTGCGTGCCCCAGACCCCCAAGACTGGAGACATGGCGGAGAAAGGCTTGCAGTGCGGCCGGCCAATGCACTGGGAGGTGTTTTCTCCCTCTCCCTCTCTGTGTCTCTCTGGCGAGCACATGCACTCTCTGGAGAATTAAAAAAAAAAAAAGATAAAAGAGAGAGAGAAAGAAACCAAGGATGGGAGACAACACTGTCGAATCTTACCTAACGCTGGACTGGAAGTTGACTAACCACAGCTAATTCTTGGCTCTCTGAAGGGAGCTGCCTCGTTTCCAGACCATCCCCGCTGCCTGACACCTCCTGCCCTCTGCTCAGCGAGCCTGAGCTCTGAAACCTGGAGCCGGGCAGGTAAACAGTTAGGGCTGGGAAGGGGACACACGGCAGTCCAGGAGCAAGCCTGCTCCCTCCCAGCCAGGCGCCGACCCCACAATGAAAGCTCCAGCGTTCTTCTGCATCGCCAGCCGTCCAAGTTCCCGGGGGAAGAGGGGCGGCCAGCACCCAGGCCCCGGGTGGCCGCCCAGCACGCCGGCGCAAGGCTGGGCCCAGGGCTGAGGGCCACCTCCAGAGTTCCTCTGCTTGGGGAGCAAGCCAGACCAGACTCAAAACCCACATCATCAGTGTTTCATTTCTGGACTGAAATGTCTAACTTGTATAATTTGGAGTATTAGAAACATTATGAAAAAGAAGAATCAGATCTAAAGGTTTTGTTCTATTTTCAAGGATGCATTATCTAAGTTAAATATCATGCAAGAGCTTCTGGACAACAGTTTTTCCAAACACCGAATTCAAAATGTAGCTTGCTTGTTTAAGTTAATATTTATGTCCCCCAGAAACGAGAAAGACAGAGACAGCACCCCAGCAGGGCCCTGATGCGCAGTGCAGGTGCAATGCAGGACTGAGGACTTGGGACCACCCATGCCCACAAACTCAGGGACATCTGTGGACATGAGCTCAGCCCTCCATGCAGGGCTCTCTGGTGAGTGCATGCACCCTACAGCAAAAGTAGAAGAAAAAAAAAAAAAACCACGAAGGAGAAGAGCCCAACTACGTACATACGAGGCGGTCATATAACCACACTGAGAAGAATTATTCCAAGTAACTTTAAAATAGGAATTTGACCATAGAGCCTAGTGGGAGTTTCCTCAAAGAGTAAAAAATAAAATTAAATGAAAAAGCAAAGCAAAAGCATTTACGTAAAACGCTGGGGAGACAGGAGCACTGACAGACCCCCACCGTACAAAGAACCTGCTGTTGGTGGGAGCGAAGGTGATGGGACCGCTTACACTGAAAGGGAGGCAGCACCCTTCCTCTGAGACACACACGGAACATTTTTTCAGTTTTGTTCTCTTTTCTCCATAGGGCATGTGCAGTCGCCAGAGACAGTCGGAGAGAGGCAGTAAGAGCGAAGGTGAAAAAGCACCCGGGGGCGGGGGTGTGTGTGTGCGTGGCCACACCACAAACCCCTTCTTCGTTTTCCTCCTGGGATTTTTGGGCACACGTGTCTGCTGTGATTTTCAAGTTGCTGGGTCTAAGACTCAAACCAAGGTCAGCCCTATGGAAGTCCAACACCTTAACCACCAAGCCGCCTGCTGGCCCCCTAACTGAAGTTATTTATTTGTTTATTTTTGTGAGATTTTTGCTGCAGGGCACGTGCACTCAGCAGAGAGAGAGAGAGACAGAAAGTGAGAAATCATCCCTCAGGGATGATGGCCACACTGAAATCCCTTCTCTTCCATTCTCCTCTCGGGATTTTGGGCACGCACACACATGTGCCCAGCGTGTTTCCAGCCGCCAGGTCTAGGACTCGAACCGTGGTCAACAACATGGGGGTCCAGTGCCTCAACCACCATGTCACCTGCTGGCTCCTCACACTGAAATATTTTTTAAATGATATGGAAAAACATCTATCCAAGTTCAAACTAAACCATAAACACTATGCACACTGCGATACAATTCAAGTAGAGTTGTGTGCCACGACCTCTGTGTATGACAGGAGGCCCCACCGTCTTTCGTTACTGCACCCCAACCCTGAGCTCAAGTTCAGACCTCCTTCTCCAAGTTCTAAAGAGAGAGTTCTAAACAACTCTCTGTCCAAGCCTTCTGGCCTCTAGAGGAAACATGCCGGTAATCACAGTCCCACAGGTAGACTTCCTCATCAACCTCCTGCTAGGTCGGGGCTCACTGAAGAAAACCTGGTTCTTGTACCAGGAGACAGTGGGGTGCCCCAGGAAGAGCCGGGCTCCTGGACTTCTCCACTCTGTCCCTCTCCTTCCTAAGCCAGGGTCTAGCATGTGGTCACCAGCACTCTACAGTTAATACAAGCAGCAACGTGGAAACATGCTGCTCAGGAGAAGCCGGATCTATGCGGGAATCGTGGGTTCGGTTCCCCGGCACACCTGTCCACGCCGAGGTGCACAGCCGTGACCTGGGAGGACTGTGGGAGATTGGTGGCGTGAGATCACGTCAAGGCTGCTTTTCTTTATGTCTGTCTCTCACCCTCATACAAGAAATAAACATTAAAAATAAGTGATGTGCCTTTGTTATTATAAGAGCCATGTCTAATCCTCAAGAACGGACTTCCGGAATTCTTGTCTCCACACTGGTTTTTGGTCAAGATCATCTTGTTGCTTCCAGGTGGCTCCCACTGCGAACACCAAGCTCTGCAGCGCGGCCCGCTGTAACAGCCGGCTCTCGGGAGCACAGCTGCCAGCTAACCTCACCCGCGTCCCCTCACACGGACGGGAGAACAGACCCAGGGCCGAGCACAGGGAGGGCACAGAGCGGAGGGTGGGCTGACCAGTAATCCCGGCTGACACTCGGACGCCCTGTGGAAGCACAGGCGAGTTCTTGGCTCTGACCAGGGGGAAGGGAAGGCCCAGTAAAGAGGGTACTTCAAAACAAATGTTTTGCCATGGGCTGCCTGTACTCACTGGAGGGAGACAGAGAGGGAGTGTGAGAAAGGTGAGACGGTAACCCCAGAGGGGACGACCATGCAATCCTTCTTCTCCATTTTCCTCTCAGGATTTTGAGCTCATACGCACCCAAAGTGATTTTTCTTTCCTTTTTTTTTTTTTTTTTTTTTTTGAGAGATTTTTCTATAGGGCACATGTGCCAGAGAGACAGAGACAGACAGAAAGTGAGAAGTCACCTCCCAGGGGCATCGTCACATCGCAATCTCTTCTCCCCCATCCTCCAGTCAGGATTTCGGGCACACGTACACAAGCTCCCGGTGTGACTTTCAAGCCTCCGGGTCTGGGACTCGAACCTTGGTTGGCCACATGGGCGTCCAGTGCCTTAACTACTACGCACCCAGAGTGATTTTCAAGTTGTCTGGTCAGGACTTGAACTGCGCGGTGGGCATGTGGGATCCAGCCACCTTAACCTCTGCGCCACCTGCTGGCCCCAGCGAGGGCACGTTTAAGCACAGTAAGGAAACTGCCTTGTCAACCGCAGGGGCATGGCCATGATAGAAAACAGCACAGAGAAGGGAGGCCCCTGGAGCAGCGTGTGAGTTGTCGACCTCAGGGGCACAGCCGTGACAGAAAACAGCATAGAGAAGGGAGGCCCCTGGAGCAGCGTGTGAGGTGCCCGGAGTGTTCCAGAAACGGGGAGGCGGGCGGGGCTGAGAGCCTGCCCTCGCCGAGCCGGAGCACCGCCAGGGCACAGAGGGCCGGGCTGCTGTCTCTGAGACAAGTCTGCAGTGAGGATGGGGAAGCTCCTGTCAGGGGCACAGCCGTGACAGAAAACAGCATAGAGAAGGGAGGCCCCTGGAGCAGCGTGTGAGGTGCCCGGAGTGTTCCAGAAACGGGGAGGCGGGCGGGGCTGAGAGCCTGCCCTCGCCGAGCCGGAGCACCGCCAGGGCACAGAGGGCCGGGCTGCTGTCTCTGAGACAAGTCTGCAGTGAGGATGGGGAAGCTCCTGAGCACTGAGCTCAGATGACGCTGACGGCCACTTTACGGGCGCAGTTGTGTCTTTGTCCTCTAGCGCCTGGGCCCAGGGGAACGTGGGGTTCAAACACCTGCTTCACAGGGCTGACGCGCGTTGGGGGCAGGCTGGAGCAGTGGGTGGGGTCAGATATGGACCCCCTCCAGGGTGTGGACTTGCCCTGGGCAACGAGGCGCCCACTGGAGCATCGTGAGCATTTAAGACAGACCATCCCTGCAGCCGCAGGAGGGTGCGCTGCAGGCTCGCTCGGAGGCAGGACTGAGGTCTGAGCGCCAGCAGACAGCATGGATAAAGGCCGACTTGAAGGTAAGTCTGAAGCTGTACTTCCAGGGCTGGACGGAGGGGTCAGGAGCACTACAGGAAGAGAGCAGGGAGCTGGTCAGAAAGGAAAAACGGGGCCTAGCAGATGGTGTAATGGTTACGTTGCTGGACTTACGTGGTTGACCATAGTTCGAGTCCTAGACCCGGCAGCTCAAAACTCACATCGAGCATGCTGTGTGCCCAAAATCCAGAGAGAATGGAGAAGGGATTGCGGTGTGGCCATCGCCCCAGGGGGAAAAAACTGAGGTGCCCGACTGGAAGCTAGGTGACTGTGTCGTCAGATAAAGAACAGTGGAAGGCTGTGGAGGACAGTGTTACACACTTACAACGTGTGAGGAGTGTGCAAGGAGGGGTGTCACCAACAGCGGCTGAAAATAGTCCCTGACCACTGGACTCCAACCCCAACCATCCGGGGTCAGCAGCTGTGGGAGAGAGGGAGGCCGTCCGATGAGGCAGGGGCAGGCCACAGCTGGATACCGCCTCTCACTCCCACCCTGCCCTGCCCTGCCCGCAGGTGCTCAGGCGGGAACCCACAGGAGCTGTTTTGGTTTTGACTTTGCTGCCCCCTGCTGGATGCTGGTAGGTCAGGCTCCCTAAGTCAGCAACACAGAGGACAATGCAGAGAGGATGCCCTCCTCACGCCCACAGCCACACGGTACGGGTCCTCCCGCTTCGCGTCAGGGTCCACGGCGGCCAGAAACGTCATCTCATCCCACAGCACTCGCCTGCTCACGGATACAACCTGACCCGCGTTATAAATCCACGGGGACGTTCGATGACACATTTAGACACTCAGACGAAGTGTACAGTGCGTGTGCACATTCGTGTGTGCCCCCCCCACACACACAATCAGTATTATTTCATTACTCTGAAAAAACAGAGTAACCTGAACAGTCTAACAACAGAGCAAGTAACGATTTTCAGAGAGTTTGGTTTATATAAATTATTCATCATACCAAGAATGATCTACAAATTTATTTACAATTTATCTTTAACAATTTGCCAAGGGACACATGTACTTACCAAAGAGAGAGCAAGCACCCCACGGAGCATGGTCACGCCCTGACTCCTCCCCCAGCTCTCCCTCCTTTCAGGACTTGCACACACGCACCCAGCACAGTTCTCGAGCTGCCAGGCCCAGGACTTGAACTGGACGGTCAGCCAGGTGGGATCCCACTGCCTTAACCACTGAGCCACAGGCCGACCCATATCAATTATATTTAAAGTTAGAATTTCTTTTTTTTAATAATTCTTTTAACTTTATTTTAATTTTATTTATTTATTTTAGTTTGACCAGAGAGGGGGAGAGAAAGAGAGAGAGAAGGCGAGAAAGCAAGCTACCAGATCCGGGACTTGAACCGTGGTCGGCCATGTGGGAGCCCAGTGCCCCAAATAACACGCCACCTGCAGGACCACGTGTTAAAGAATTCTCCTAAGGAAATCAACTAGCTGGATTCCTGCAATATTAGGTACCTAGTCCATGTGGTCGGCAAAGCTCTCCCACAGGTGACAGATCTGCCAGGACATGGCTCGGCCCGACAACTGCAAATTCTAAATTCCGAGCTTAATTAACCTGCCCTCACTCTTTCGGTTTATCTGCACGTCCACAAAGGAGGAAGCTGATTGGAAATAGGACCCAAGAGGCCAGAGAGCAGTACAGCAGCTTTCCCGAGCTCTGCAGGGCTGGCCCCGGGGCAAGTTCCAGTTTGCCTGGGGAAAGCTCCCAGCCTGTGCTGGGAAGGGGGAGTGTCTGATCTGGGCCGTTTGAGGCTGGAGATGGATCACGGCATGAAGACCCTAGTGGGGGCGTCTCTCTTTCTCTCTGTTACTATGCATCTCTTTCTCTCAATCTCTCTTGTTCATCAAAGAAAAATATTAACTTTTTTTTTTTTTGGTAAAGAAACTCAACTCAGTAACATTAAGCCCCCGAGTCAGACGTTCAGAGCGCGACTTCCCCACTGTTGGCTGAGTGACCTCGGTCAAGCCGTCTGACTGCTCTGCCACCTGCTCTGAGCCTGTCCGATGGGATTTACACGGAAGCGTCAGCACAGCTGGCTCCCGAGGCCGGCACGGCAGCTGCATCTGAGTGTCTTCAAGCGGGGGCTCAGAGGCCGTGGTCTCTTGGGACCAATTCGTTACACACCTGAAATTTTTCCTTCGGAATGTTCCTCCGGGCTCCTTTTGCTAAAACCAATGCCTCTTCCACCCTGCGGCTCGCGAGCAGATCCTGGATTTGCTTCTCCAGAGGGAGCGGGACCAAGAAGTAAACGCCTTTACTCGTAGCGACAATCACTCTTCCTGGGAAGAAAGCCGACAGTTGGAACAGGAAAACACCCCCTGCGAGGAGGTCCGTGGCCCCAAACTGCATTTTCATCCGACTCGTCCTCCACTTCACGACAGTTTTCTGGAGGAAACTCCTACGAGAATGAATTTATAATGCTTCTCTTTTTTCTTTTTCTCCTCTCAACTCTGCCCATGGTTAGAAAGGGGCAAACTCTTCACTACTCTGTATCCTAAAACATCTGCTTGTTCGCCTCTTTCTATTGTCAAGTGCAGGTAAGTTTCACATCGGGGTAGTAGAAACCGCGTAATATTCAAAGGAGCGTAGTGCTCAGCCTTGGAATGCTGTAAGAATTAGGGTACACCTCATATGAGAGTTTTAGAAATTCTCTTTGCAAGGGCCAGCAGTTGGCGTAACAGCTACATCATTAGGACTCCCATGTAGTGGACCACGGTTCGAGTCCCGGACCCAGTGGCTTAAACTCACGCCGGGCGTGTGTGCGTGCGTGCCCAAGATCCCAAGAGGAGAATGGAGGAGAAGGGATTGTGGCATGGCCATCTCGCCTGCGGGGTGATTTCTTGCCTTCTGTCTCTCTGTCTCTCTCTGTCCTTCTGGCGAGTGCATGTGCCCTATAGCAAAAAAAAAAAAAAAAAAAAAACTGTTTGCTCTGGGCTTGTTTGGTTACATGAAACTAAGAGCGTAAGGGAATTTAATGAGGTTCAATATCATACTCCCCTACCGACTGAACACCCCAAGTCTTGCCATTAATACATCCTCTTCCCCACACCCTGGGAGTGAACTCTGGCTTCTTTGGTTTACCTGTGAGGCCCGCCCCGTGCCCACAGAGGAGTCAGACTGCAGCCCCAGACTGGCCGTGACTACTATTTTTCTCTCTTTTTTTTCTTTTTGAGAGATTTTTGCTGTAGGGCATGTACACTCCTCAGAGAGACAGACAGTGAGAAATCACCCATGAGGGGGATGGCCACGCCACAGTCCCTCCTCCACTGACATTCAAATCGAATTCCACTCCCTTTGGAGAGCCATTCAGCTATGCATGACGTGGCCACAGGAAGTAACTGAACGGTATTTCCTGTCTTCTGTATCACAACTGAAGTAGCTTTTAGCAGAATCCCTTCTCTGCCTGGTGCCACTTGGTCCTGAACGCCTCCCTCTGGCCCACCTAAGGAACACCCTCCTGGGTGCCCTGACCCTCCATGCCCACGCTGCCACCCGATGGGGCATCAGAGGACTGCTGCAGGAGGGGGCTTCGGAAAGAGGGTGGGAAACGGAGCTACAGGTTTAATTGGTGCAAAAGTGTTTGAACTGCCATGAGGTGCATGCACTTGTCGGAGGGGGATGAGGGAGAAGGCACCCCAAGGGGGGCACGATCACACGGCAGTCCTTTCCCTCTATTCCCACCCATCAGGGTTTGGGCACGTGTGCACATGTGCCCAACATGTCCTTCAAGCCATCAGGGCCAAGGTTTGAACCTCAGTCTGCCACGTAGGATCCAGCCCCTCGCTGCACTTGGGCACCCACTGACCATGGTGCAAAAGAAGGTCAAATTCCATTTGGAAACCATGGCGTTTTCTCATAACAGGCATTTTGCACGGACTTGTTGAAGAGCCCCAGACCAACTGTGTGCTGCTCAGAGTGCAACCCACTTAACGGCAGGGCTACGTGTCTCGTTACGTTTGTGTCCCCAGCATTAAGACAGCGCTGGAGGGTCCACCAGGTGGTATGGCAGTTAAGGCACTCCCACATGGCTGACCGAGGTTTGAGTCCTGTACCTGGCTTAAAAATCCCACAGGCTGTCTTGAAAAATCACGCCAGGCGCGTGTGTGTGCATGCCCAAAATCCTGACAGGAGAATAGAGAAGGGATTGTGGCACCATCATCCCCCCGGGGGTGATTTCTCACTTTCCCTCTCTCTGTCTCTCTCTGTATCTTTCTGGCAAGTGCACAAGCCCTATGTCAAAAACTTAAAAAAAGGGAAAAAAAAAGAAAAGAAAGCGCGTGATACGAAGGGCAAAGCTGGGTGAACTGAGGTCTTCCCACGGCCGATGGGGCGCACTCTGACACCACAGAGGGAGTCGCTGGGGCAGCCATCTGCATGGGGCGGGTGAGTGGCTGAGGCTGTGCTCCTTCCGCAGGACTGAAAGCAGCGCTTCTGCAAGGCAAGGCCCTTTTCCTTAGGAGGGGAGTGCTGACGTGGTAAATGGCAGTGGCTTCCACTCTCCCACGGTCCAGCAAAATGTCACCAAGTACTAAATCGAGGTCAAGCGTTCACCTTTCAACTCCTCGGTACATTTGAAAATGCTCGTAAGATTGAGAAAAGTGCATAAAACCCATCCTCAACCAGCTCCTCCTCACACCTGAGTGGTCCTTCCTGGCTGCCTGCAGCCTCACCACACGCCGCCTCCACACAGCACGCACCGTGATCACACCGATCTGTGTGTGTGGCATGGAGCCCAGGGTTCCCTCTTACACAGATCTGCATGCACCTTCTCTACCAGAAGGTTCTTTCACACATCTGCTTGGCTAACCCCCATGCATCTTTAGAGGTCAAGTTCAAATACCACCTCCTTCAGGAAGCCCTCCCTGATACCTCTCAGAGGTACTCCCTCTCTGCTCTCCCAATGGGCCTCCTTCCACCTCTACCAAGCTCTTAAACTGCTGTGGCTATTTATTTATTTTCTTGTTTTTTAAATTTGCTATGGGGTGCATATGTTGGCTGGAGAGGGAGAGACACAAAGCACCCCTAGGGGGATGAACATATTGTAATCCTTCTCCTCCTCCATTATCCTCTTGGGATTTTGGGCACTCATACACACGCGTGCTCAGTGTGTTTTTTAAGCGGCAGGGTCTGAGACCCAAACTGTGTAGTCAGTCACGCGGGATCCAGCCACCTGCGCCATGTTCACGGGCCGGCCCAGTAGCTATCTGTTTAAACGTCTGTCTCCCCATAACCTTGCAGGCCCTGAAGTGCAGAGACCGTGTTGGAGACACCTGTGCATCTCCCACGCGTAGTATAAGGCGCGGTCCCTGACCACCTCTGGGAAGCACGGCAGGGCGGAGCACGCTCCAGCGCCCGCTGCAAACCCGCACCTTCGAAGTCCTGCAGGATGTGGCCTTCCTTGAAGGGCAGGGTCTGCTTCTGCTGCTGGTCCAGCATGCTGTGCACCGTGATGAACTCGTCGTCGAGCGCCACGACGTATGGGAAGCAGACGGCGGCCCCGATCACGTTCTCCGACCAGTGTACCGGGGCCCGCTGGGAGATCCCCGCCACGGTGGCAAACATGCCTGCGGATACGGGAGGAGAGCGTTAGCCGGGCCTTCGAACAACCGCGGCGTTTTCTACAGACGTGTCTGCATGCAGAATGCCCCTCCACTTGCCTGTGGAGTAGGGCTGTTCAGTTCTTGTTTTGCCAGCGGGCATGTGCACCAGCCAGGGACAGAGTCAGAGAGGGAGAAAGCACCCCCCAATGGGACGTGGTCCTGCCACAATCCCTCTCCATTTCTCCTGCTGGGGGGCTGGCCACGCGTGCACATGCGCCCGATGCGCTTCTCAAGGCACCATGGCCACGGCCCAGATTAGAACCACAGCTGGTCTTCCAGGGTCCAGAGCCCTTGACTACCGGGACACGGGGTCAGCCTTCCTGTACTCTTATATTTCTTTAAAAAAAAAAAAAATTAATTGGGACCAACAGTTACATAATGGCTATGTCGCTGGACTCCCATGTAGTCGCCCGTGGTTCGTGTCCCGGACCCGGTGGCTTAAAACTCATGCCAGGCGCGTGTGTGTGTGTGCCCAAGATCCCGAGAGGAGAACGGAGGAGAAGGGATTGTGGCGTGGCCATCGGCCCTGGGGGGTGATTTCTCGCTTTCTGTCTCTATGTCTCTGTCTGTCTGTCTGGCGAGCACACACGCCCTATAGCAAAAACCTCTAAAAAAAAAAAAAAGAAGAAGAAAGAAAGAAAGAAAGAAAGCTCTCACTCGGACGAGACTCTGACAGTGCTGACCCTGACACGGAGATTTATAAAGCACACGTACTCCGTGAGGAAAAGCTACTTGCAAACCATTCGGGATGCTTTGCGAGCTTCCTGTCGTGTCCAGTCTTCCAACTGGCCTGCCTAAGTGACAGCTCACCTCCTGAGCACCCGCTGTGTGCCTCGCGTGCCGCTAGGTATTGTGCTCGGAATCGAGGTCTAATCCCGGGTAACGGGTCCTGCCCTGGAGTCTCAGAGTGTGCGCATGATGCCGTGTACACGCTGTGTCTAACACGGGTACAGCCGACTCTGCAACTCACAAGAGATTGCTGCCAAGCGTCTGTCAATTACCTCCACGTCAAATGACAGTTCATCAATCTTGCACAAAAAGCATGTCCAAAAGATATTGGAGTTTGGGCAGCAGGGGCATAGCTGTTAGGCTGCTGCCCAACCCATGGCTGACACGGTTCAAGTCCTGGACCCGGCGGCTCGAAACTCATGCCAGGCACGTGTGCCAAGGATGCCAGGAACAGAATGGAGGAGAAGGGACTGTAGTGTAGCCATCCCCCAGAGGGTGAGTTCTCACTTTTCCTCTCTCTCTTTTTACCTCTGGTGAGTGCACACACCCTATGGAAAAATAAAAAATTAGGGTTTAGCAAAATGAACACATTCACCAAATAGAGTCAACATATTTTAACTTAATTTGCAAAGCAAGTGACATAAAACACCTTTGAAAACAGCATGCTGCTGCTGCCCAGTGATTAGATGTCCCTGCTGCAGACAGTGGTTTCTGAGCCACAGAGAGAGGAGGCGCAGGGAGATCCAGGGGCGAGCCAGGGGCCTGAACCTGACTTACAGGGGAGAGGGTGAAAGGTCCCCTGGGGCTTGGAGCGCCTGGACTGGCAGCACCGAGCTGCTCTGAAGCCAAACTGGGATGCAGGCTGGCCAGGAGGCAGTGGGGCTGCAGGCCAGAGCCTTCTGGAAGAAGGGAGACTGCAGCTCAGTCCTGGGAGGATAGCAGCAATCTTCCTGAACAGCGACAAACTGTCCCACAGTGCACGCCAAATGCCAGGGTGAGGCCCCCAGTCTCAAGTTCTCCTTCATTTTCCTCTTGGGAGGTTGGGCACACATGCACACGTGCCTGGCCTGATTATCAAGCCACCAGACGTAGGACTTGAACTGCAGTCAGTCACGTGGGAGTCTAGCACCTTAACCACCTGTTGGCCCCTATGGGGGGGGGGAGGTCTTCAAAATTTCCTATTTTGAAAAAGCTCTGCATGCATGATTCCAAAACATTTCTGCACCGAAATAAACTGGTACTTTAATTTCATCCTCCCCTCCATACAAGACAAAGCAAGAGAGGGAGTGTTTGCAGAGCAGAACCGAGGAGTACTAATCGCCCCGATGTGTGGACATGTGCCCCGAGTCCCTACAGAGAGATGAGATGGGGGTGAGGAAGCTGTGGGGTGACCGTGCCCCGCAGGGCAGAGCCCTCTTCCTCTCCCCGTGCCTCAGGAAAGGGCACACGCCCTCTAGCAATTCAAACAAAAGAAAACTGAGTCTGAAAGGACGGTCCAGCTCGGTGGGACAGCGGTAAGGCGCTGCCTCAGCAATGCTCGGATCCAATAGAAGACCACGGGTTTGAGTCTTTGGTCGACCTGGACCTGCCGGGCACGAAAGCTCGTGATTCCGGGTGGCCGGGACGACTGTGGTGTGAGAGCTGCTGCGGTGCTCCTCTGTCTGTTCCTCCCCTCTCTGATGCTCATGAAAGAAAAAGAAAATTAAAATAAAATCTAAATTACGACTGAGCTTGTGAGGAGGAAATCGGGTTGGCACTTCAATGCTCCATGCAGGTAAAAACCACCAGCAAAAATGCACCTGCAGGAGAAAGAACGGGGACTCGCAGGTGCGGGCACCGGTGTGGCGCGCCCACCCTTCCCCAGGCATTTGCAGAATGCACAGGGAGGGGCTGGGCCCGGGGCCATCTGGGGGCTCTGAGACGCTCAGGGCAGACACGTGCTCATGCAGCACAGCACACGGGGCCACCCGACCACAGACGTGCAGGGTAGAGCCCGGATGGAGGGTCTTTTTTTTTTTTTTTTAAGAATTATTTCTTTTTTCTTTTTTTTTCTTTCTTTCCCTTCCTTCCTTCCTTTCTTTATGACCAGAAAGGGACAGAGTGAGAGACAGAGAGAGAGATAGGAGAAGTGAGAAAACAAGCCGCCAGGTCCAGGACTTGAACCACAGTTGGCCAAATGGGAGTCCAGCGCCCTTAGCCACCATGCCACCTGCTGGCCCCATAGGTTCTTGACAGAAAAAGAGCAGAAACCACAGGTCATGAACAAAGGCTTGTGCCCAAGAAAAGCAGAGCTTTCATCAGAGTTAAAGAGCAGCGTGGGCCGCCCGGTGTCCTGGGGGTCAGTGCTGCAGGATCCCACATGACCAGCCCACACGGTTTGTGTCCCAGCCCAGGAGGCTAGAGACCACACCAGGCACGTGTGCACGAGTGCCCAAAATCCCGAGGGGAGGGAGAGGTGGGGGAGAGAGGGTTGTGGGGCCATGCCCCATGGGGTGCCTTCTCTTCTCCCCCTCTCTGACAAGTGCATGCACCCTCTAGTAAAATGAATGAATGAATGAATGAATACATAAATAAGGAAGAGCAGAGCAGTCCTGGGGGATGGGCAGGCAGGTCCACGCACACGAGAACCCACAGACGTACCCAGAACAGAGGCTGGGCTAGCCACCTGTCTACAGCCACCGAGCAGGTGGTCAAGGTGGGCACCTGCACAGTGGCGAAGGGCAGGGGCTGTCGGCCACGGGGCGCCCAGTGCACAGGGCGCACCTGCTAACGCCCGTGTTCAGCTGTGCCCTCCGGGTTTCAGGCCGCTGGTATCCAAGCAGAGGAAGGGAGGGGACCAGGAGGGTGAGCAGTGCTCAGTTATCTCCTCTCTTATCTGGAGAGGGTTTAAAGTCCCGATCACCAACTGTATTTGAGAAGTTCCGCAAAGTATCGCTTTGCAAAAAACTGAAGAGCAGTCTCTCACAACACAGGAGTGGACACATGTTGCATTCAGAGAGAAACGCAACAGGAAAGATCACAATGTAGAGCTTTTGTGCTTAGGGGTGCATTAACTTTTATTTATTTATGATAGAGAAAGAGGAAAAGGGAGGACGGGGGCTCGCTGTGCTGTCACCCTCCTGCTCCAACCTCCCAGTTGCCTAGGATGACAGGCCTGTGCAACTCTGCAGAGTGCTCCGCTCAGCCTGAGCGCTGGGCCTGGGCCTGCCCTGCAGCTTCTGGCCCCCCGAGCGGTGGTGCTTCCCCAGCAGCTGGGCCCGAAGGTGCGTTTTACATTCACTATGGGAATTCTCTTGAACTAGTCATTTCTTTCTTATTTTTGTTTAAGAGAGACACTTTTTGCTATAGGGTGCATGTGCTCACTAGAGAGACAGGGAAAGATATAGACGGAAAATGAGAAATCTCACCCCCTGGAGGAATAGCTCCTCCATTCTCCTCTCAGGGCATGCATGCGCATGGGCCCGGCGTGAGTCTTAAGCCATTGGGACCAGGACTCGAACTACAGTTGACTACGTGGGAGTCCAGTGACATAACCATTACACCATCTCATGGTCCCTGAACTATTAGTTTCTAAAACTGTGATTACTATGCTACAGAACCTGGATATAAATCATCTGTAAGAGACCTTCCCAGGGTCTTTCGGTTGCTCATTCTGTACCAGACGCCAGCAGGACCGCGACTCAGAGGCTGGTTTACTCACCCAATGTGCACGGGGCCAGCATGGAGCAAGCTAAGGGAAAGATGTGTCCGAGTAGGACGTGTTTCCCTCCAGTCCGAGTTCTACAGCCGACAGAGGGGTACTGGGGCAGTGTTCTCGCTATTAAGCCCTCGCCACGGAAACAGCTGGCCACGGGAACACGCCACTGCACTGACGGAGCCAAAGGCCAAACGCACAGCCGGACCCCAGATACATCTGATTATACAGGAATATTTTTAATGATTGCATTCAACTTTATTTACTTATTTAAATGTGCCCAGAGAGGGGCAGAGTGTGTGTGTGTGAGAGATTGAGAAAGCAAGCCGCCCGGTCTGAAACTCAAACCGCGGTCAGCCATGTGGGAATCCAGCACCCTTAACCACCACGCCACCTGCTGCCCCCCAGCCCCTTTTAAAATTATTTAACTTTACCTATTTATTTTAATTGGACCAAATTTTTTTAGTTTATCTATTTTTTCTTTCAAGAGAAAGAGATAAAGAGATGGCACCCATTAGGGTCTTCACACCACGATCCACCCCCAGCCGCAGCCAGCCTGACTACAGGAACGTGAAGGCTCCTGGCATGGGTGGAGCGGTGTCAGGATGCAAACGCAGGACCTGCCCACGTGGGTCCTCTACATCACTGCTGTACTACCATCTGGTCCGTTATACAGAAATTTTAAAACATGCCTTTGCATCTTAAAAATCCCAAATACAAAGAATACTTTAAAAAAAAAAAAAAACAGTCTATAGATGAGAATATACAATTCCATCAAAAGATGGGGGCAGACAGTGGTACAGTGGGAATGTGAGTGGGCCCACATGGGAAAGTCCCAGGTTCGTGTCCCAGAATCCTCTGTGCACACCAGACAGGCACGGGCCATGACTCAGGCGGCTGAGGCTGGGGGAAGGGATTGCAGGGTGTACCCGTCTGGCTGGGGAGGCTGGTGACAGAGGGGCTATGCATGTGGGCAGAGGCATGTGAAACCATTGCATTTTCTTCTCAATTTGCTGTGAACATCAAACTGCTCTAAAAAATAAAGCTTATTTCTTAAAAGAGTAAAAATCAAGACGTGTACATGAACTACCGACAGCCCGTGTTCTGAATTGCTGCTATTACAAGCAAGCGTGCTTGTAGCGGGTCATCGGAAAGGTCACGATGTAGTCTTTCTACGAATAAATGGGTCATGACTTTTCCGATGACCTATATTTATCACGTAGAAACACGAAGCCTTGGGGCCGGCAGGTGGCATGGTGGTTAAGGGGCTGGACTCCCACATAGCCGACCGTGGTTTGAGTTCGGGACCTGGCAGCTTGCTCTCTCACTTTCGCTCTCTGCCTATCTCTGGTCAAGTTAAATAATAACAACAACAAATAAAGTTAAACAAATAATTCTTTTAAAAAAATGGGAAAGGAAGTGAGATGCCTAGATAAAGACCGTCCAGGGTCGATGCTGGGGTCAGCATGGCCCACCCCCACCTCTGTGCTGTGGCTTCAAAGTGTCCTCCCAAAATCACTATGTCGAGATGCAGTTGTGATGGGATTAGAAGGCCAAGACCTTAGGATTAAGGTCATCGGGGCAAGGCCCCCACGACCGAGTTTATAATGACAGCGATGAAGACAGAGACACTCATTCCTGCCCCTGCCTGCTCCAGCCAGGGAGAAGACCCTTGTCAGATGCAGCCCCTGGCCCTTGGACCTCCCAACCATGACTAACCCCCTACTCTCATGACACCCAGACAGCTGCGTGAGTAGCAACGGGGCAGACTGAGACACCCTGCCACATAAAGGTCCGTGGCCGTCCACGATGGAGAGGGAACACCAGAGAAAGCCCTGAAGCTAACAGCTCGCATTCACCTGACGTGGGAGAAGGCGGTCCGGGGTACTAGCTAAGGTCGTGTGAGGACAGCCGGGGCCCTCCCAAAGAGGTAGCTACTAACACCTCGGTGGGAAGAAATTACAGGAATAAAAAGAACATTATGGACATAACCCTGAAGCTTCCACAGCTGAAAATACTTAGTGAGCAACCTCAACTGCTTTTTAGAACAAGGAGTGAGAACCATCTGGTGACAAACCCACCTGCATGGGAAAATTTTATAAGGAAGTTTTTTTTTTTTGGAGAGGTTTTTGCTATAGGGCGCGTTCGCTCGCCAGACAGACAGAGAGAGACATAGAGACAAAAAGCGAGAAATCACCCCCCAGGGGGGATGGCCACACCGCAATCCCTTCTCCTCCATTCTCCTCTCGGGATCTTGGGCACGCACGCACACAAGCCCGGCGTGAGTTTAAGCCACCGGGTCCGAGACTCGAACCGTGGTCGACTACGTGGGAGTCCAGTGACATAGCCATTACCCTAACTGCTGGTCCCATATAAGGAAGTTTTATGAAGCATTATTTTCTTTTTTTCTAGAGAGAAATTTTTGCCATAGGGCATGTACGCTTGCTGGAGAGCCAGAGAAATTCAGAGGGACAGAAAGCGAGAATTCAGAGAGACAGAAAGCGAGAAATCACCCCCCAGGGAGACAGCCACACTGCAATCCCTTCTCCTCCATTCTCCTCTCGGGATCTTGGGCACGCATATATATGCACCTGGTGTGAGTTTTAAACTGCTGGGTCTGGGACTTGAACTGTGGTCGACTACCTGGGAGTCCAGCAATGTAACCACTCAGCCATCTGCTGGTCCTCATAGTTTTTTTAATGATAGCGCATGCATGTGTGCATGTGCTCATGACGGGGTAGGGACACCCCGTTGGGGTCTTGTAGTGCTGCGATCCACCTTTCCCAGCTCCCAGCGCCCCAGATCCTGGGCGCCCGCACGCCTGGCGTGTTTCCAGACCCACCTGGGGATCTGAACCCACGGTCAGCCATACGGCGTCCCGCCTTGCAGACACTTGCGCTGCTGCATCATGGTGGCTGGGCCACTCCCTACTCACGGACTTCAAGGAATTTCCCCACCAGAGCTGTCTTCGGGCCCCACTGTAACCCGGAATACAACGGGTTTTACAGCTCGTCTGACTGTGCTCCCTTCACTCCACAGCCCCGAGACAGCCTGACAGTTCAGCAAACACCGTGCACACAGTCCTGCCCTAGCCTGCCACACCTCCTCCATGCTGGCGGGTACTCCCTGAGTATTTATTTCTCACAACTAAAACCTCACAATCCAAGTGGCCACATGGTGGCGCAGCGTAAATGCAACTGGACCCACATGGCAAGGTCTAGGGTTCGTGTCCCGGGACCTCCCCTGACCACGTGTGCCCATGACTCAGGGTCTCTGAGGCTGGGGTGGGCACAGCAGGAGAACACACCTGGGTGCCACTCTGTCTCTCTCTGTCTAGTTCTCTGTCTGTCTTTCTGTCTACCTCTCTGTCTCTGTCTACCTCTCTACCTCTATCTCTCTGACTACCTCTCTATTTCTGTCTGTCTCTCTTTCTCTCTCTGTCTCTCTCAACCTGTCTCTCTGTCTACCTCTCTGTCTCTCTATCTACTTCTCTGTCTCTGTCTACCTCTCTGTCTCTCTCTACTCCTCTGTCTGTCTCTCTACCTCTCTATCTCTCTGTCTCTCTCTACTTCTCTGTCTCTCTACCTCTCTCTCTGTTTACCTATCTCTGTCTCTGTTTCTCTCTATCTCTCTCTGTCTACCTCTGTCTGTCTATCTCTTTGTCTACCTCTGTCTACCTCTGTCTCTACCTCTCTATCTCTGTCTCTGTTTCTCTCTATCTCTCTGTCTATCTCTCTGTCTACCTCTCTGTCTCTCCCTGTCATGGAAAAAACATTCAATGAACTTAAAAACAATCTTGTTCTGATGCGGCATGTATCCATGGAGCTCTCCCCAGGAGACCGGGCCGGGCGCAGGCACCGCGGGGCATCGCCGAAGCATCTCCTCACCCAGCCCTCCGGGGCCCGCCAGCAGAAACTCCTGTCTCCCTATCCTCTTGACGATCGGCCGCTTCTCCTCGCTGCAGAAGGGGAACAGGTCCTGGGAGACGCCCGTGCTGTAGTTCAGGATCATGTACTGCGTGGTCAGGGCCAGGCACAAGAAGTGGCCGTCCACTGCCACCGCCAGCGGCTGCTCCGGGGTCGACACCTCCTTGACGATCTGCACCCGGTCCTCGTACACCAGAAACATCTGGATGGTTCTGCGCTTCACAGAGATGATGCAGACTTCCACGCAGAACGGGTCCCCGCTCACGGGGTTCTCGTTCAAGGCGAAGGTGGCGGCCCCCTTGATGCGGGCCCCTGAGGGCACGGGCTCCAGGCTCAGCATGTTGACCAGCGAGATGGAGCTGTCACACAGTACCAGCAGCCTGTTGAGGGCCGAGGCCGCCCGCAGCTCGCTGACGGGCTTCTTGAAACCCAGATGTCTGTGCAGCTGTTTGGTGGCAGTGAAGGTGGCCGTGCCCGCGGGCAACGTCTTCTCCTCCAAGCGGAAGTGGTAGACGAAGCAGTCGTTGGTGCCCACGTAGAGGTCCCGGCCACAGCACTCCACGCACTCGATGTGGACGCGCTCTCGGTCTCCCGCCAGCAGCTCCCGCTCCACGGCGGACACCAAGGTGAAGGCCTTGACGGTCATCATGGCGACGGCCTGGTCTGGGGAAGAGGGACATGACCTTTAGAAAACAAGGGAGAGAATATTCCCGGTCTCGCTAAAGCCACACGGATGCCCAGGGTCATCGCAGTCAGAGGAAACCACCTGACACTGGTAAAAACTGGGAAGCGGGGTCTGGATGGTGACAGTGGTACAAGTGACACGCCGTGAGGCCGACCCGCATGGGGAGGTTCCAGGGTCGCACCCACAGTCCTCCCTGGTGAGCCAGGCAAGTGAGTGCCCACGAACCAGGGCCGCCTGGGCTGGTGGGGCCACGAAGTCCAGGCCCTACTGGAGGTGCTGTCTCTCCGTCTCTCATCCATGGAAGAGATAAATAAGCTTTAAAGAATTATTTCATTTTACCGACTCATTCATTTATTTTATATTTATTTTTATTTGACCAGAGCAAGACATGGAGAATGAGAGAGGGAGGGAAAGTGAGAAAGCAAGCCACCAGGTCTGGGACTCGAACTATGGTTGGCCAAGTGGGAGTGTCCAGCGCCTTAACCATCATGCCATTTGCTGGTCCCAGAAATAAATCAACTTTTAAAAAAAGTTAAGAAGGGACCAGCAGTTAGCGTAATGGCTATGTCGCTGGACTCCCATGTAGTTGACCGCGGTTTGCGTCCCAGACCCGGTGGCTTAAAACTCACGCTGAGCGCGTGTGCGTGCATGCCCAAGATCCTGAGAGGAGAATGGAGAAGGGATTGCGGCGTGGCCATGCCCCCGGGGGGTGATTTCTCGCTTTCTGTCTCTGTCTCTGTCTGTCTGGCGAGCGCAAGCACCCTATAGCAAAAACCTCTCCAAAAAAAAAAAAAAACTGGTAAGAAGAGATCTCCCCACTGACTCCCCTACAAGAGGGCTGAGCCCCACCAGGAGGGCATCCCCCGACACCATGACTGCCTCTGCTCACTCCCGATGTTGGAGTTCTGTGGCGCTCCCTGGCGGTGCTCTGGGGGACACACAGCAGGGAGGAGACGAGCCCACTTATTTACCCACAGAAAACATAGTAAGATTTCCAAACACGAAAGGGCAAGCTGCGAGCCACTCTGTCGTTTAGAGCAGCCAGCTCTCCTGGGCACTAACCCTTCTCCAGAGGACGAGAACTCACCAGATCTACAGGAACATCACGGTCTATTCACAAGTGTTGCCTCCATGATGGAATCACCATGACCCCTGCTCTGCCACGAGGCCCGCCACTCCCAACACCAAACTCTAAAACATGAGACCGTGGGGGACGAGCCGCGACGGAAACTGTAAGGTTACATTCCCTAACCCTCGGAGGCAGCCCAGCACAGACTGGAAGACCTCCCCAGACAGTCAGAGAAGTCCACGCACCACAGAAGAAGAATCAGAAAAGCTCCCTGGGCCTCTCAACTCAGACTGCAGAGCTCCACCATGTCTTGTTTCCCCATCCCCGGGGTGACAACAGCTACCTTCCAGTTAGTCTAGTGCCCTTCCCTACACTAACAAAATCCTCAGAAGGGAGGGTACCCCAGAGATAGGGGTGAGGTTTATCTGTAGATGCCTCAGAGCCCTCCCAAGCCCTTCCTGCTGCTTCATCCTGTGGTCTGAATGTCTGCGTCCCCACAAGCCATATATTAAGCTTAATTCCCGGTGCAGTAGTGCTGGGTTCTAGGAGGTGATAAGCTCTCTCATCAGAGAGCCTCACAGAGCTTGTCTGTCCCTTCCCCGTGTGAGGAGGCCGCTGGAAGGTTCTGCCTATGAAGGACAGGCCCTCATCAGACCCTACACTGAAGCTGCCTCACCTGGATCCTGGACTTCCCAGCCTCCAGAACTGTCCTCCTTCAGTCGTTTATAAATTACCCAGATGGCAGGATTTTGTTTCTAAATTACCCAGCTGATGGTAGTTTGTTACAGCAGCCCAAAGGGGCTAAGACACTTGGCTTCTCCGAGCCTCGATTTCTTCATCTGTGCAAAGACCAGAATAGGAATGGTGCCTTCTTGATGGGAATGTTGGAGAATGAAGTTCATGAGCTCATGCAAAATGCTTACTATCTGGCACAGGGCACTAAAACAACAATTTATTTCATCACTGATACCATTGTTCCGTCCTTGTAGGACCCGCGCCCATCACGCAACCCTCAGGCCCACTTGAGGTGTCTACTTCCCAAAGGAGGCCCTCGAAGGTGAAGTGCTATGGCCTTCTGTCCTGAGCTATAGGTCCCCTGTTCACCTCCACCGAAAGACAGGCTAAGGACTAAGCCAGAACACACCTTTACACACCCCACGCCAGCTATGCTCATCTTCACAGACACTTGGAAGAGTAGAGACAGCGAGGCGCGAGGTTCTAAGGGCACACACAGAAGGAATGACGCCCGTCCATTCCGAGGCTGTAAGAACTTCCCTAGGGTCTCAGGGAAAGCAGGTGAAGAATCCCTGTAGGAGTCTGCGAACAGCCTGGGGCACAGACAGTTCCTAAATACCATCACGTTTTTGTCATGACTAAAATACTACCTAGATGACTTTTTTAAATTTAAAAGCTAAACAATAAAACCCAGATAATGAAATGTATCTCAGTGAAAGCGTCTAACTCAGTAAAAGCAAAGTAATAAAAGACAGTCAGTCATCCTCCATTGACTGATCAATTAGTGCCGCCTTTTAAAAAAAGCAGAATAAAAGGGAATCCTCCTTTTCAAATATGAAATGTAGCTCTACCTCTGTAGAAGGAATACAGTCGAACTCTTCTTATTCAACTTTTTAAAAAGCCTTTGTTATTCTAGCCTCTGTCTTCACTTAGCATAAGGGGAAAATGAAAGACATTTGCAGGGAAGAATATTCTGGAAAGAGTCAAATACCTCAGATTAAGTGTAGGAGGAGGAGGGAGACGGGACTGTAAGAAAAGCACGTGGTTTACAGAAGTCATAACCCTAATAGTTAAGAAGAAATGCAGTATTGGATCATTAACTGGTGACTAGAGTGACAAGATGCTTGCTAAAAAGAACTTTCTGGGTCTAGCGGGTGGCGTGGTGGTTAAGGAGCTGGACACTTCCATGTGGCCGACCACGGTTCAAGTCCCAGACCTAGTGGCTTGCTTTCTCACTACCCCGCCCCCACCTAGGTCTATCTCTGGTCAAATTAAAATAAATGAATGAATAAATATTTATAAATATTTAAAAAGAAAGACTCCTAGAGACTTTTACAAAAAGTCTGCTTTACCAATTAAAGGGTAGTTTACAAAAAGCAGAATTACCTGGAGGCAAATGAAACCTGGCCATGTAACATTCTAGTATATAAAAATGGTCCATTCTTGGGAACCAGCAGTTAGCATAATGGCTATGTCGCTGGACTCCCATGTAGTCGACCGCGGTTCGCGTCCCGGACCCGGTGGCTTAAAACTCACGCCGGGCACGTGTGCATGGGTGCCCAAGATTCCGAGAGGAGAATGGAGGAGAAGGGATTGCGGCGTGACCATCCCCCCTGGGGGGTAATTTCTCGCTTTCTGTCTCTCTGTCTCTCTCTGTCTGTCTGGCGAGCGCACGCGCCCTATAGTGGAAAAAAAAAAAAGGGTCCATTCTTGGGCTGCACCCATAGCCTAGTGCTTAAGGGAGCTGGTTCCATATGGCCAACCACAGATCGAATCCCAGCCCTGGTCATCTGAAAAACACTCTGGTTGTGTGTGCATGTGTGCCCCCAATCCTGACAGGCTGGAAAAACAAGGAGGAAGGATTGTGGTGTGACCATACCCCATGGGGGGGTATTTTCTCCATCTCTTGCTCCCTGTCTCTCTCTCTCTTATAAGCACACAGGCCTTCCAGAGATGAAAATTAATTAATTAATTTAAAAGGCCTATTCTTTTATTTATTTATTCATTTATTTCAAGAGAGAACTTTTGTTATAGGGTGCAGTGAGAGGGAAAGCAAGAAATCACACCATGATCCCTTCTCCTCCATTCTCCTCTTGGGATTTTGGGCGCATATGCACACACACCTGGTGTGAGGTTAAGTTGCTGGGTCTGGGGCTCAAACCGCAGTCAGCTATGTGGGAGTCCAGCAACGTAACCAGTACACCATCTGCTGTCCCAGCACCTGCTCTTTTAGGTAGTGATAGAATTCTCCCTATGATCTAGTTTACGTGATACAATAACTTAAGTAAAACATGAATCACTGAGAGAGAAAGTTTAGACCATATATTTCTATGTTACCGTTAGGTACAACCTACTGGTGTCTAAACCAGAGTGGCTTAAACACAGTAATAAAATTACAATGACGCATTTCTCTGTGGTGTACAACCTGTACTGTATGGTGCATCTCAAGCTGCCTAAAATTTCAACATTTTGTTGGAATTTCACCTTAACACCATGGTTATACTATAAAAGATCAACAATTTAATTTTTTCTTCAAAAAAATTGGGAAGACTGAAAAATGTTTATACATTCATAGAAAATAATTTATTTTTTGAGAGGTTTTTCACTATAGGGTGCGTGCGCTTGCCAGACAGAGAGAGACAGAGAGACAGAAAGTGAGAAATCACCCCCCGGGGAGATGGCCACACCGCAATCCCTTCTCCTCCATTCTCCTCTCGGGATATTGGGCATGCATGCACTTGCGCCCGGCGTGGGTTTTAAGGCACCAGGTCTGGGACGCGAACTGTGGTCGACTACGTGGGAGTCCAGTGACATAGCCATTATGCTAACTGCTGGTTCCCCATAGAAAATAATTTAAATAAAAGTAATATTACAGGTGCCAGCAGGTGATGTGATAGTTAAGGCGCTAAACATTCACATGGCTGACTGTGGTTCAAGTCCCAGACCTGGTGGCTTGAAATTCACACCAGGCACATGTGCATGTGTGGCCAAAATCCCAAGAGGAGAATGGAGAAGAAGGGATTGTGGTATGGCCAACCCCCTGGGGGATGATTTCTCACTTTTCCTCTCACTGTCTCTCTCTCTCTGTTTCTCTCTGGTGAGTGCATGTGCCCTATGGCCAAAAAACTAAATAAACTAAAAAGAAAAAAAAGATAACATTATAAATATAATAA